TATTCCGGCATTTGTCTGGGGGACTGAGGAAAACTGTAGTCTGGATATCCGACCAAGACGTTTGGTTTATTGGCCATGGATTGGTAACGTTATGTCTTAGGAACGATGATTCATCATTACTACAAACAGATCTATCGCTTCGTATTTCTCATTTGTATAGAATTTATTCTCTTATCTTCCGTTCTTAAGATAAACTCCGGAAGACTTACCGACAGCCTTCGGTTTCTGTGAGTAAATACACACGTTGTATCAATATTATCTTAAACATTGCCCGTTGCCTGAAATGAATTTGATACGAGGCCACAAAACGTGGAAGTTGGCTCTCGTGCATTCTACCCTCAAGAAAGAAGTGGTATGTTCATCCGAAACGTTGAATATGACAGCCTTATGCGATATTGCCCCCATGCAGTCTCGTACAAATTGGCCGACGTTTCGGAGGTGTTTACTGCATACATCATCAAGGCGATGCACCCTTTTTAGATGGTGCCGTGCATTTGCTTTTGTAAACCAACATTTTCGTGTATCATTTCGCTTTGGTAGCGTTTAAAATGGCGTCCTTCATCTTACCATCTTCGCCATACCACTTCACTAACCGTAGACCTGTGCCTGATTTTTTTGATTATATATACAGTAAAATCCCTCGAGTTGGACACCCTTTATATTGGACACTTTTAATTGGAACCGGCGAATATCCTATAATTTTACGTGTCCATAATACCCTATATCGCATTTGAGTTCAGACTGCTAACGGAAATGGAATTTTTCTTTTTGCGATGGGGAAGCGAAAATTGGTGGAATTAACTTTAGAAAATGTTATTGAGGCTGGGGTGTAATGTGCAATGCATGGGAGTGGGCTTCAAAAGATTGTTATGATTAATAATACTAATGTCATTAATTCTTAATTCAAGTAAGCTTACAGTAGTTAGTTTACGTAAGTAAATAGATTATATTGTCATTAGACCACAATCTGATTTTTCTTTCCCTCTATCTTGGACACCTCTGTAAGTTGGACACGTTTTCGTGGAACCCCAAGTGTCAACTTAGAGAGGTTTTACTGTATTTGCACAAACGTTTAATGTAGGGTCGAAAAATGATCATAATAGGCGGATAGGTTTTACGACTTTGAGTCCGAAGATTGCGATCGCCCTAATGAGGCCATCACAAGGACCTATGAAACGTCGGTAAACTTCTACCAGATTACACGGCAAGACAACCCCTAAGACAGTCATGAAAATCTTAAAACCTGCCTTGCCTTTGTAAACAAAAGGCCTGAAAGTCTTTGTTTATAACCAAACAATGCGGTATTTGATACAACTCTTTTGTCCCTTGTAGCTTATGGGATACTTCCCAAAGCATTAAGTTGGGGAATTTTCAGCTTCAGCATACTTGTTACTAAATTGGTATATCGCACCGTATGTAGGATTTTAGTTTTAAAGAGATAGATTGACTTTTATCTTGTAAGATTTGAGGTTTTCACAGCCGTGAGTATGAAGATTTCTATCTTCTGGGTTGTTGCGCTGTGCAGCCTGGTCGATGTTAACCAACGTTTCAGAGGTGATACTGCCTCCGTCATCAGGACGATTCTTAGTATGAAGATTTCTGTCTTCTGGGTTCTTGCGCTGTGTAGTCTGGTCGATGTAAACCAACGTTTCGAAGGTCATACTGCCTCCATCATCGGGGCGATGACCTCTGAAACGTTGGTAAACATCGACCAGACTACACGGCGCAACAACCCAGAAAACAGAAATCTTCATACTCTGATGACGGAGGCAGTACGACCTCTGAAACGTTGGTAAACATCGACCAGACTACACGGCGCAACAACCCAGAAAACAGAAATCTTCATACTCTGATGACGGAGGCAGTACGACCTCTGAAACGTTGGTAAACATCGACCAGACTACACGGCGCAACAACCCAGAAAACAGAAATCTTCATACTCTGATGACGGAGGCAGTACGACCTCTGAAACGTTGGTAAACATCGACCAGACTACACAGCGCAACAACACTGAAGACAGAAATCTGACTTATCGTATCCGGATATCCACAGAACTGCTTTTTACGTGATTGTAAGGCAGGATTCACACCGAAACAATAAGCAACAGGCGATGCACGATCATGTTACTAATACGTTGGATAACGTGCATTGGAGTATGAACATCTCACGCGCGAAGTTCAGCGATATCGCTTTTAAAATTATCGTCCAGTGATATACAGCACGTAACTGTTGATGTTCTTGGTTATGACGCCGTGTAGATTCGTAAGTAGACCATCGTACAACACAAATCTTCATGGCCTTGAAGATGGAGACAGTATGTTTCTCCGAAACGTTGCAACCTACCTACGAATCTGTATGGCGTCACAACAGAGAACAGTAACATTGCCAGCCATCTTAACCGCCGTGCGAAGATTAGATCTCATTCGATAGTTTTGAAAATAACTTACATGTTACAGGCATACCTCGTTTTATTTCGCTTCTCAGATATTGCTTTGTTTTACAAATTGAAGATTTGGCAACCCTGCGTCGAGCAAGTCTATCGGCGCCATTTTTCCAACATTATGTGCTCACTTCGTGTCTCTGCGTCATATTTTGGTAATTCTCGCATTGTTTTTTTAGACATAATGCTATTGCACGCTTAATAGACTACAGTATAGTTTAAACATAACTTTTATATGCACTGAGATACCAAAAAATGCGTTTGATTCGCTTTATTGCGGTGGTCTGGAACCAAACCCGCAATATCTCTGAAGTATGCCTGCATATTATCACTTCTCTGTAACGAGAGGGTACGTTTATGCAAGTTTACCCCGTCCTCTGAGTGAACCATCTACTGAGCAACGTGTTTTAATAAGACAACCGATGAACAACGAATTATAAAAAGTGTCATTTAAACTAACTCCCTGGTACCAGAACCCCGACAACATCAAAGCCCACCACCGGCCACGATCCTGAGCCAACTCCATCCATTTGCCATCCTCGCAGCCCACTTCCCTAAGGTCCATCTCATTCTTGGTCTGCCCAGTGGTCATTTTCGGGAAGGATTCCCTACCAAAATCCTGTATGCCAAAAAGTGTCATTTACGAATTTGAAATCTAAAGGCACCGACAAAGAAAAGACCTTTTTTTTTATTAAGACTTTGCTTCAAGACATTCTTGAAGGTATAAAGTACGCATGAATAAACACTGCCCTTTGTAGGGTTTTTGGTGTAATCAGCAAAAATTCTGGTGTCTTCTGCTGTCTCTTGAACGATTCCGGTCGCCTTTGGTGGCTCTACCCGTTATTCCTTACCTCACTTAACTGCCTGAAAAGATATTTCCAGGACGGAAGGTAAAAACGGGACTAGACAATTAGTCGGTGAGAAATACAATAGCGTCTTTGAGTTTTAAAATTTATTGCTTGAAGTTAATGAGTTTTATTTCCACAGAAAGACTGAACCGTAAGTCAGCAATATTTATTGGGGAGGATTTAAGGTTCTCACGGCATCGTGTATGTACATGGAATCTACGTTACATTCCATGGATCCATAGGTCAGACGACAAGTCATAATAATCCACGATAATACAAGTACAGTTCATAGCATTATGAAGATTTCACATAAATTAAACAAAGTGTTCACAAATAAATCCACCCATTACATACACTCTGTAGTGTGGTCGAAGTTTAACGACGTTTCAGAGGCGATTGCTGCCTCTATCAACAGCGCATCGGTAAACTTCCACCAGACTACACTGCGCTACAACTCAGAAGACGGTCATCTTCGTATTCACTGCCGTGAAAACCTCAAATCCTACTTGTTACAATGCCTGGTGCGTCTTTATTGTATGAGATTTGAGTTTCTGAGGGCGGTGAAGATGTCGACGTTGGTCATCAGACTTGCACCGGCTTGTGGATTTACAAACGTCATCGTTTCGGAGGAACATACTGCCTTCATTTTTAAGGCTAGACCACACGACGATACAACCTGGTAGACCAGCATAGTAGAATCCATTTTAGTGACCCTTTCTGACTGAATTCCCACTGAGTAATACCTTTCAAATTTATAAACAAAAGAACTTTTGTAACATTCGTGTTTAATAGCGGTCAAAGGGGCAAGTGTACCTTTTGTCATTTGTGGAAATGAATTGTTTGGTTGGTACAGACGTAGAAGGTTTTGTGTTGAGGCATTTAAGAAGAGACTGTTCCGAAAATTCTTTTCACTAGGCTAATGTGGGGATGGCGTCTCATTCAGCATAATGGCCTGTGTGTGTGGACTAGTGTTCTGGTGCGTTATCAGATGTCATCTATTCAGTTCTACTGAGTCACGTTTCTCTAATGAGAGAGCATACTTCTGTACTTTCACCCTTTCTATATTTGTCTGGCTGGACACGTTGCTGTTCCAGAAATGAGGCGTGGTTTAATATCGATGACGTAACCAAGTCCTAAACCCAACCGACGCTTAAATAGCGTTACTGAAAATGTTGTTTGAAACTTTTCTATTAACAGTGGTATAATAAATGTTGCAAACGCGAACGTACAGATCGAAATTGATAATCGATAACGAAGTAAAGTTAACAGTGGTATAATAAATGTTGAAAACGCGAACGTACAGACCGAAATTGATAATCGATAACGAAGTAAACTGTTTTCAGATTTAAGTTTTTGGTGTGAACGTTCGCGTTTGACAAAACAAGTTCCCAAATTCCGAACATTTCCTTCAGACTTCATATGAAAAAGAGATTTGTTCAAATAATGCAGTTATTAATATGTGTTTTGAACGTTTGTCACCCTGTTCTCAAACACTAACCAGCTACCTCCATGGAGCCGATTCTTCTTCAGAACGTTTGTTACGGTGTGCATGAAAGTACTTTTTAGAAGCTTTTGTATCTGACCTGAGTTGTACTCTATGCATTACATGTACGTATGTCATCATGGTAATAAATAATAAAATACCAACATTTATGTTATTACGGTACACTTCGATCTTAATGCCTTGGATTCTTCCTTTTTCCGCGTTTCAGATTGGATTCAAGGGATTTGGTTTACCAGAAGATAAACTTAATGCCTCAGGTTCTTTCATTCATGAGGGTCGTGAATATGTACTGCATCATGGTTCAGTGGTCATAGCAGCCATTACATCCTGTACCAATACAAGTAACCCAAGTGTAATGCTTGGAGCAGGTATGTTTGAAATCTCTTTATTGTCATTCTATTTATGTTAAAACACCCTTTTTGGCCAAAATTTAGAACTGACAGTCCCGTGTATCTTTGGTGTTTGACATTGTCAGTGAAATTAAACCATTTTTGTCATTTTCGGACAGTTTCGTAGCTTTCAAAAATGAAAATTGTGGTTTATTATGCAAAATCAGGCATTTATGCCCAATTAGATGTACTTTTCTCCATGTTTCATAATCATCACAGCATAAACATGGAATGAGAAGTTAAAGGAATGTCTATTCTTGTTCATAGGTTTTTGTGGCTGTTGTACAGTGTATAATGTCGATTTTCATGCGAGAGCACGTTTCAATATTTGCTGAAACGTTTAATACAAAAAATTCAATGCAATTGTCGCCCCAAACCTGAAATTATATACAAAAAACAATGTCCAGTATACTAACATAAGTTGTTATCTTTGTTACTAAATGTTTATAATTTATCAATAACTTTGTAAGGTTTTAAGATTTCCCTGTGACTGAATGCAGTGGCATCTTCTGGGCAAGACTTAAAACTTTCATGGTACATGAATGTAAAATTTCTTGGGAAATCGGCCCTGTTAGTGTCGAGTCAAGTGCCTTCAACGTTGACGTGGCTGATTGTCTGGGAAGCAGAGACAGTGTTTGAAATGAAGATTCCTGTCTTCTGGGTTGTTGCGCTGCCTCCGTCATCAGGGCGATGCGTGATGACGGAGGCAGTATGACCTCTGAAACGTTGGTTAACATCTACCAGACTACACAGCGCAATAACCCAGAAGACAGAAATCTTCATACTCACCGCTGTGAAAACCTCAAATCTTACAGTGTTTGAAATGTTTGATCACCTAATAAGACGTAATTCTAATCAGTAAATTCGAAATTTGTTTTTGTAAATGTAGGACTTCTTGCAAAGAAAGCCATAGATGCTGGATTAACAGTGCTGCCTTATATCAAGACAAGTCTCTCGCCGGGGTCAGGAGTCGTCACATACTATTTGAAGGAAAGTGGTGTCATCCCTTACCTCACGGCACTGGGCTTTGATATCGTTGGTTACGGATGCATGACTTGTATAGGGAACAGTGGCCCTCTGCCTGAATCCATCGCTGAAGCCATTGAAAAGGTAAGGGAAAAAAAGTTTGATGTTTTGTGATGTGCACCTTATGGCACTAATACCATTTCTGTGGCACAGAGAAAGCCAGGTGATCATGAACATTGTCTTGACACGGTAACTTCCGTCCATCGCGCAGTTTCTTTCATTTATTCCTCCAGACATCTTCCCACTAAAACTCAAAGTATTTCTCAACTAACACATGAATACATCGTTCTCTTCTGGATAAGCAGACGTATAATCGAGTAATAACAGTATGTGCCTGACTGTATGTCCTTTTATTTGCGTCTTCTTCTTGTAGTGTTATAACCCTATGTGGGTCTTAGCTTCTTCGACGAGTTTTTTCCATTCTGTCCCATCGTTCACAGTTCTTCTCCATCCCCTCACTCCCATCGTCCTCACATCCTCCTCCACGTCATCTATCCTTCATTTCCGTGGTCTCCCTCTCATCCTTCTTCCCATCGGTCTCCATTCCCTTTTATTTGCTAATATATTAATTTTAAGGACATCAAATTTGCATTTATTTTGATCTGTAGTCATTCTTCATGATGCATATTCTCTCTAAAAAGATATTTGTCAGTTGATGAGAAAGCTGTCTATTGGTACAAAAATGAGGTGGCATATTAAACAAAGAAGATAATGGTAATTTAAATTAAAGATTCTACATTCACAGTAAAGTAAAAAGTAAACATTTGATCTCCCTATCCACCAATATAGTAAGATCTATCAGCTGTATATTCTTCTTCTTCTATGGCTCTCCGGTCTGTATTCAGTCCATGGCCTCCTCAATTCTCCTCTTCCATTCGGTCCTCTGACAGATCCGTCTGTCTGAGGCTTTGATCGAGGTTTCGAAACAACTTCCTTTTTACGGTGAAAGGTTGTTAGCCTTGCGACCAACCCCCAACCTGGAGGACCAGAGTACCTGTCTTAGTCTGAGCTCTTCCCCTCGAACAGTCTGGCTAGGGAGGCCCTACCAGTAGCTCTTGGGGTCGCTGAGGTACTCAAGCCCCACCACCACCACGACAAGGTGCAGGTACCATTAAGTGGGAATCAGCTGTATATTATTTATGTAATTACAATAAAAATGGTCTTTGTTTCTGAATGAGAATGTAATTCACTATTATTTGATGATTTATTATATCGGTTATTAAATTGAGGTTATTAATGGTATTGTAAGATTTTCCAGTTTTATAAATTAAATGGTCTGTCAAACAATGGAATCACTGGTGTTGATTTGTTTATTTTTTCTACAGAATGACCTTGTGTGTTGCGGCGTTCTCTCTGGGAACCGCAACTTTGAAGGCCGCATCCATCCCAATACTCGAGCCAATTATCTCGCTTCGCCCCTCCTTGTGATAGCTTATGCCATTGCTGGGCGAGTGGATATCGATTTTGAGAAGGAGCCACTTGGTATTATTTCAAGCTTTTGTTTGTCTTTATTGTAATCTTGAATTTGGAAGGCTTAGAAGTGGAGAGGCGAAATATTGGTCGTCTTTTAGAGTAGAAAATCTTTGGAATTCTTATAACAAGATGTCTGTCCATCCATCTTGGAAACTGTAGCGTTATAGAAAGCCATAGTCACAGTTATGTTTCAAAAACTTTCACAGACATTTATATAATCAAAATATAGAAGTTTTTGTGTGAACGTTCACAAATTGAACCTGGATCTTTATTGAAACTAGGTTAACTAATAACATTTTTGACTTCGTAATTGACAAGTAGAATAGATAGTTCCGACCAATGTACTATTGAAACAGATTTACGGTCTCTTTGTTATTTGTCATCTTTGTTTTATATTCCATTTCAGGACACTCACCTGATGGCAAACCAGTTTTCCTCCATGAAATATGGCCCCTACGTAACGAGATACACGATGTAGAACAGAAGTATGTTATCCCCGCGATGTTCCGTGAAGTGTACGCCAAGATTGAGACGGGGAGCTCCAACTGGGCGAATCTAAAAGCACCTGAAGGCAAACTGTACCCATGGGACCCATCCTCTACCTATATTAAGAACCCTCCATTCTTCGAAGCCATGACAAAGGTACGTATTAAATTTTTAATATTTATTTACATTACTTTGATGCCTTATTTTCAAAATTGTAGTGCAAATGTAATGCAGGTATGCATATATGGTGGGGCAAGGTCTTGGACTTTGAATGGATGATTGAAATTAGGATTGAGAAATGTCATCACAATCATGACTGATGCGGAGAATATTTATATGCAAATTAAAAATTGCCTCGAAATGTAATTCTTAATGCTTTTGGGGGTTGTTGTAATCTTGACATTACGACACATGAAAACAAGATGTATGAGTACTTTTGAAGCCATGTAAATTTCATCTGTGTTAAAGTGAGGAAGTCGGGCAACTGAAATAGTAATGTACTTACGCAAATGAGAGAAAATTATTTAACTTACATTTGTATCATTAACATTTAACAGGTGTAGTTTAAGGAGTTACAAAGACCTTTAGTTTTTTTGTGAAATAGAGAATATGCCTTCTTATCCTCTATGCTCTTTGTTATAAACTTTAATGCATTAACTTCTGTTTGCTTTGTCGTGTCAGTATATTCATCACCCCACATATTTGATCCTTTATATTTTCTTTACTCAGTGTTTAAAATGTTCCTTCTTAGGAATTACCTAACATTGAACCAATCGAAGAAGCCCGAGTGTTGCTGAACTTAGGTGACTCCGTCACAACCGATCACATCTCCCCAGCTGGCAGCATTGCCCGCAACAGTCCAGCTGCTCGGTATCTCGCAGCAAGAGGGTATGCACCACACCAGTAGTGCATGTTGGATGTATCTTCATTTGTCGGGAATTGAACTTTATTCACCTTTGAATACTAAACCACAGTTAAATGGTTGGCATTCGTGCTTCATATTTGAATCAGAAAACGCTAAGATCTGCAGCTTTACATTAATATATTTTCCCTCTGAAGAAAACTGTATAATGCTCATCAATACATACAGTTTCCACAAATTTCAGTCAGCTTACTGAAACTGATCTATATATGTATACCGGTAAATGAAGTTGTTGGTTAATATTTGATCTGTAACGTGGGAATATGCTGAGTATCTTTTAACAGGCTTCAGGCATCTCTGAAAGTTGATTTCCGTTCAGGTTGACACCACGTGAATTCAACTCGTATGGCTCACGAAGAGGAAACGATGCTGTGATGGCACGTGGCACATTTGCAAATATCCGCTTAGTCAACAAATTTGTAGGACAGGCTGGACCAAAAACAATTCACATTCCGTCAGGAGAAATGGTGAGTTAAATTTGTGTAGTACAGAATGATGGAATGCATTCCAAAAATGACGATAAATAACTGAATAAAACAACTGGTTTATTGAGATTCTCTCATCACATGTACAGAAACTAGTGCAATAAGAGCATGTTAACTGGAACTTTTTATAATTAAAACAGGGCTCCTGGAGAAGCTGATAGTTATTCAGTTGGTCAAGAAATTCCTACTTGCAGACGTTCAGTGTTATGTTCACAAGAGCCTGCTATTGCGCTCTGTTCCAAGCCAGTTGAAATCAGTCTCTATTTTTATATTCCGATACTTGCACATGGTCATTTGGTTTATTTATATTAAAAACTAACGATTTCAGTAAAAATATCCTGACAGTAATTAAACTACATAATTGTAATTATGTTCCATTTTTCCCACCAGAGTTCATCTGAATGATATTTAAAATTTCACTTCTTACCTCAGTGAAAACGTAACACTTCTCCGTTACAAAGATCAGTTGGTTGATGCTGTTTAGGGAAATAATCACTGTTTATTCTGAGAATCATGAAACCCATAAATACACTGAAATGTACCTGTACTCCTCATTATTAGTTAATTTTCCATTTAAGGTTTCTGTAGAGGACAGTGGCCTACTCGAAGGTATCACAACCTTGTCGAAGGCAATTTGCCAGGTGAGGAGCTTTGGCACATGGTAGGGTCACCCAAGGCAGACAGGTTTAAGGCGATGCGCCAGACTAAGAGTGATACCCTGGTCCTCCAGGTTGGGGGTTGGGTGCAAGGCTAACAACCTTTCACCTTAAAAAAAAGCATTGTTACAAACACATTAACCAAGCCTCGGACCAGGACGGACTCTTTGGCACGACCATGGCAATTGAAAAAGGATATGAGATTTGGAACGTGGAACAGCCTGAGGGGAAGAGACCGCTGGAAAGACCTAGACGTAGATGGGAGGATAATCTCAGGCGGGATCTATGGGAGATAGGAGTTGAAGGAGACTGGATTTTGTTGGCCCAGGACAGGGTCTGGTGGAGGGTTTTGGTTAATTCGGTGATGAACCTTTAGGTTCGGTAAGCCATCTAGTTAGTTTAGTAGTTAGTAGAGGACAGTGGTTCAGACTTTGGAGATTATGTTGTGTACAGATTAGTGAACAAATGCATTGGAGAAAATGTGTATATTTTAACAGATAATTTGTTTGTAGATGGATGTGTTTGATGCTGCTGAGCGTTACAGGAAGGAAAAAGTACCACTTATAGCACTGGTTGGAAAGGATTATGGATCAGGTTCATCAAGAGATTGGGCAGCTAAAGGGCCTTTTCTTCTTGTAAGTATTCACTTGTATAGATGAAAAGAATAGCCTCATATAGTTTATTTAGTAATAAGAAATGTTCAGATATTCTAGAACAACTAATTTCTTATTTGTGATACATTGAACCATCTCCTGTTTCACATTCTAGTATATAAAATTAATATATAATAGAGAGGTCATCTTCACCTCGAAACTGCCTGCAAATTTTGTTGATATATTTGTCTCCATTACAAGTTGTTGATGTGAATACACTGGGTGATTATATCTTACATTTGTAATTAGCTTTTATGCACCATACATTGCTCCTTATATTTACATTTATCCTTGGATTTGTTTATTCATTCATTAATCAGTCAGAAATGAATCCAAAAATAAAAGTTCAGTTTAAATATAATGTCAGTTTCACAAATGTAAACTGAGTTTTCTTAGTGCACATTTGTGATTCAGTGTAGGAATTAAAATTGTTTTTAATATATCATTATATATACATATTTAAAGTGTAAATATATAGAGAGTAAATTTACAACCATACAATTAAAAGGGAATGATAAGCTCTTACAACCAAGCAGCCATCTAAATAAGGTAACTTTAATTCTTTGCAGGGTCTGCGAGCAGTTATTGCAGAGTCTTATGAGCGTATCCACAGGTCTAACCTAGTAGGCATGGGTATTGTTCCTCTGCAGTACTTGGAAGGCCAGAATGCCGAATCACTAGGCCTCACAGGCAAGGAAAAATACACAATCAGAATTCCAGAAAATATCCGTCCACTGCAGGAGCTGACAGTTGAGGTAAGACAGTTACTGTTTACTCTAGGATGAAATCTAAGTTTGTACTTGTTTCAGATTATTCCAGCCATGGAATATTTAACTTAGTGAGTTTCCATCAAGTTTAGAATTTAAAGTTTAATAACAGCAGTTCCTTATTGTCAGACATTCTGTGGTTTATCTGATGGTAAGAAAAGACTACGGGTCTTTTACATTTTACTTTGAATCAGTGTTTCTTTTCTTTCTTTGTCTTACTCTGGACTGTAATTTAATAACATTTATTCCATGAGATGGTAATGAAGGCAATTCATAGTTGTTCTTCACTAATGATATTGTGTGTCAGGAAACCTTTTATTGTCCTCTTCACAGGTTTCAAAATTCTCCATCACCAGAAACTTTCTGCAATTTTTATTTTTTTTACATTTTTATATAACATTGTCAGTAATGCTTTTTAGTTTGATATCAAATGCATTGTTTCTGAGATGCGGAATTAATTTTAAGACAGCATTTACATTAGAAAAACAATAATGTGTATAACTTTTGTCTCAAAATGCTTTTGCCCATCTGCCCCCTTCCTCCAAGAGCACGTATCCTATGGGTTAAGAATCATTGTGTAAGGACTTTAATTTTTAGGGATTTGCCTCAAACATTATGTATTTCATGTTTTTACAGCTTGTTAACGGAAAGAGTTTCCAGGTGGTCGTCAGGTTTGATACAGAAGTGGACCTCACATACTTCCGACATGGTGGAATTTTGAACTACATGATACGTAAAATATTGCAGTGAGCCTTAAAAGGAAATTTGTAGCATCACATTCTGGTAAGACAACATACACTAAGGGACCATACATGACTAATGTCAAATTAAATAGTTTTGAATTATCCGTGTAGTATGGAGGCAGAATACAGCCTCTTCAGGTCTGGCTGTAAATACAGAATGCACAGCCCCTGATAATGAAGGCAGAGACAGTGGACTAAAGTGGAATTTTGCAGTATAATGTACAGCATAAGGGTTGATAACATTCTCACATGGCCGATCTCCTGAGAAATCATCATTGCAATCAGTGTCTATGAAAGCTTTAGATCTTACATATATATTTTAAGAATTTTCAGGTCAGCAGTTCTATTTAACTATGTCATTAGGGAAATTTGATGAACCCATGACAATCCTCGAGTTCCTTTGTTTACATACAGTGAGTGAAATTGTGTTATTAGTTGGTAAACAAAGGGTTTAAATTTTTGCATACTTAATTTTATTAAAATCTGTTTTTAAAAGAATTGAGCACATATTATTTTGTAGTTGCTAAGCATGAAGGAGATAAGGTGAAATAATTTTAGTAAATTATGTTATAGACATTAAAGTTGTTGGTTTTTTTTTTCAGCAAATCATGTATATTTGGGATACTTTTGACAGTTCCATCAGTCTTCCTTGTCCTGTGTGGAAGAAGATATGTACGTTGATACATTTGTCATGGTGAGAAATTCTTTGGGCTTGAAACAAGAATAACTTTGTGAAGAATATTGTCAGATGGGGCAAGAACCATTTGTTACTTAAACATTCTTTATGTGGAGTTATGTTGTAAAGTAGGGTGTATATGCAGTTAAAGCAGTTGTTATAAATCAGGCTGGATTAGGTTATTCATCTGTTACACTTTTTTATTTGGGGCCACAGATTGTTAATGTAAAGGTCTGTTATCTTTATGACACTGAGAAGAATTTTGTAATTGTATGTACACAAAAAAAGTCTACCTTATGGAGTGTATAATCAAGACTGATTTAAAAATTAGTATGGGTGTTTCAAAGTGTGTTTTGTATATGTGCAATGTTAACTTGAAGAAATATTGCAAATAAATATGCTTTTGTTTGGAAAAGCAGTAGTTTGTCCTTTCTGAAATACAACTTGATATTGTAAAGAATTTCAGGTTACAGTGCTCTATTAGCCCTTCTATTAATGCATCATTAGTAATTTACAAAGTTTCCATGGCTATAGATTCCTCTTAATGTTTGCCTTATACCATTTAAATAACATTGTCTTAATGGGCTTAAATGTGTATGTACAGTTAAATTCCCTCTCCTTTTTCCATATGATTAAACATAAACCCTCCCATTTGTGGACAAAGATTCAAAGTTACTAATATTCATAGACACTGTACTCTAAAAAGTTTTCATAGTTGTTTGGTACAATTTTAACTCACATAATGCTTTTTCTACTAAAAGGGGTAAGTAAATGCAGTCAAGTAGTGAATTGTTAAGTCTGATATTGAGGTTCTCATGGTGGCAAGTATGGTTATATTATACTTTGGGTTGTGAGAGACACTTGCAGATAACATTTTGGAGAAACATACAATGACCAACATTAATAATATCTTTGAGCTGTTGGCCATGTCAATTCTTTAATGTAAATTCAAAATGTCGTCTTACAGATCTAAATATGTAACATGACAACATACTTAGAAATACATTGTAACTTTCCTCCACAATATCCTTAACAAAGTGATATGGCTTATAACCTGAGAAGATTGTAAAATGCAGATGATTATTAACAATACTGGAAAACATTAGTACCAATACCACAGACAATCAGAGTTTCATAATTTCACACACTGTACCAGAAGGCAAGACCATTATGATAACCAAATTTTTCACAGAACAACTAGAAGCGCTAGAAACATTACCGACTGAGTTCGTATATGATCACAGATGGCAGCATAGTCTACAGATAGAGCCGCCATTTAATTTCATACAAGTATGGCAGAACCTATAATGAGTTCGAATACCTTATGTTTGAACAAGTTTCGACAGGTCTCTAGTCCGTAGCATGGTAGTTGTCATTGTGATGTTGAGTGTGGAAGGTGTGCGGCTTTGAACTCGCGATTAACGTGTTTTGTATGTATTGGAAATGAATTATAAGGTGAGTGATTATTTGTGTGCTTTATGATACAGTGTTGGCCATTAAGTTTTAATGTAACTGCAGTAATTATTGCCGAGTAATGTATTTTGCTGGATTCCCGGCTTCGACGATAGGAAAAGGAGGTACTGCCTGTGGTGTGAATTACGTGCTTGGGATTACTGTTTTTAATAACATTTCACAGTGTGATTTTATTTCTTTGCATGGGATTGAGAGGGTATCTTTGACGGTTTTGCGAATGGAGTATTGGTGTTTGAAAGTTGCGCAATGCACTAGGTTTCTTACATAGCAAAGCAGGACTTCTTCAATTGGTCAGGTTGTGTGTTTTGTCAACAGGTGAGTCATGCTTTTGTATTGGATGTAGTCGAATTACAGCTTACAGAGCTTGCAGATAAGGGATAATGTACGATTCGATATTTCCAGGCAAATAAAATGAAACAAAATGTTCCTGCATATTTTTTTATATTTTATCGTCGGCGAATACTTTGGTACTGCCGACAGAAGTGTCTAAATATGATCAGTTAATTCCAGAATTGCTAGTCGCCCCCCTCCAATATACCATTACAGACATTTGGATTTGTGTTCTGGTTTCGAAACCGGACAATATTAAAACTCTCACCCTGATGTTGGACGCTGCAAGGGCCTCTGAAAAGCTGGTAAACTTCTACAAGACAAAGACAACCATCATCGGTCTCGCCGCCGTGACAACCACCTCATATCCTACTTTATGTTAACGCTTATCATAAATATTCCAACCGGAGTTCAGTTCGTATCTGAAGCAGAAGAGATTGCTTGAACAAAATATGCGTAACATATTTGTATAAAAATGTGATTTAATTCTCTGATATGATGCGTTTGTCATTTAATTACGTCATAACTCTTTACCACATTTATTTTTAATAATTCCAAATAAAAGTTACACCATCTTTTGTCATGTGATGAATGATTTCGTAATGTATATTTGTTTGCAATGTAGCGCAATTATAATTTTCAAGTCGTTCACATTTCTACAGTAAGACATGGCCGAAACGCAAGAAAGACTTTTCCTTTCGATTATTTTAGCTGTACCAAATACCGGCAAGGTAAATTACATTAAAAAAATACTGGGTTCTATTATCATCGTTCTTCCCGTATTATTACGCCAATGAGCAACTCTCACTGGGTTTATACTTCTCACCAGATGCCAGAGGGGATGTACGGATGATGTAACCAAGTTGCATAATTAATGTTGCATTTATTACAAATTACTTTTGTGCACAAGCAATACTTTCCTAATCTCGTGTTGAACAAAAATTTGCAGTTTTCATATTAATGTCTGCGAAAGGCATACCATAATGGATTTAAACCAAGTATGGAATCTTTATTTTAGTTTTTTTAGACATTGGCCCATGCTAACTCCTACAACAGTTTTTATTACGTGAAGAATGTTTAACAAAGAACAAACTCTCATTATTCACCTCTTGATTTCCTTTCTTTTGCAATGTTATCTGCAAACAGGACTGGCAGAAACATCATCAACTGGAATTGAATACTTTTTATTTTCGACCATTCTTCTTTGAAGAATGAGTGCACATGTAATACACTTCATAAATTGTGAATTCCTTGTAGGATATATTTTTTCCGTGATAATCAGAACTCATGAGATGCCCACAATTAAGATGGCTGCCAGACAAAGACATATTTTCGTAACTTTGGTGTTTTTATTATAAATAGTACACTAATTAAGAATACTTAGAATCGTGTACTTAACCCTAGAAAAGTATTGAAATAAAGAATAGAGCGAAGCAAATAAAATTACTTCAAAGTAGGAACTATTTTCATTAGCTGCCGTACCCTCTGAAATGGCGCTCTTTATTGCCTCTATAATTGCTATCGTGAGGGTTTGTATGAAGTTGTGAAACAAAGATATTGTAAATATGGCTGTCTTCTGGGTTGCTTCGTGTAGTCTGGTGGAAGGTTGCCAACGTTTCAGAGGTCATTTTGTCACCACCATCAGACTCACCGCCGTGAAAACCTCAGATTCTGCCTTGTCATGCTAGTAACTAGGAAGACCGTACGTGAGATCACCATGGGCACACAGGACTTTACTTCCATAAGATTGGCTACAGAAGAAATTGGGTAGCCAACTTCATGTTTCAGAAAACGTTCAAATAGAATATACTATAAAGCAAATTTTCAGGTTCGATTAATGGTGCTGGAAAGCAAGCCTGTCCTCTATGTGTTTTGCATCGAGTTAGATGTGATAGTAATGTCGAGTTTTCAGTTGTTTGAGAATGCTTAAAGCAGAATGCAGAGCGACAATACTTTTATACATTTTTCATGTTTGTCATTGAACAAAACTGAGGAGTACTCAAGGCCATCTTTTGTTTTATAAGATTATTATATGAGAGGCATTGATTTCAAAACATGATGAATCTCAGTATAGCATTAAGTTATACGAAATAACTTAATGCAAACATTCGGGTGATATGATCCTTCAGGCTAACACAGTATATGCAGATCACTCTTTCGAGTTGGTAATAGCTGTGTAATTGCATTGTTATGTTTCAAAAATACTATTTCGAAACTGAGAATTTCTCTCACTAGTTTCCGTCCATTCGTGTATGGCGACTGCAGGACAAAATGGATAGTGATTACATGCAGGTTTTTTTTTACACTTTTCTAGGCCTGCTATTACAACGCAATTAAATACAAAATCAGATGGATACATTGTAAAAAAAAAATCAGCATTTAGTACTATACTGTACATGTTCATACCATTTCCCATGTATTGGTGTGATAAAGGAATAGATAGTCGTGTGCGATAAGTAGTTCTATACAAAAAAAATTATTTAACTTAACGGATGCTTCCATTCTGCAGTTTACATACTTTACATTGGTGGCATGGTTGTGTATCAAACCTTTGCAATCTTCATGAGAGCCTCGAATTTTTAACTATGAGGAGGGATTAATTCGGTAGGCAATTTAGGGTGCGAACGATCTATGGTCCTTTGTGATTGATGCCATGACTCACCCGCGACATTCGATTACGATGTATATTATTTGACGTGACAGTGACATTCGTATGTTTATCTGTGATGGGTAGGGGTGCAACACCTTGGTTTATATAACTAGTCTGCCTGCAATGACTACTTAAGAACGAGCTGTATTTTCGTAATTGGTATTCTAGTACCTCTTTGGTGTCCTCAATATGCTTCTGTTTATAGAAAGGTTCATACTTTAGGTTTTAAATCGCCTGTATATCAGCGAAAGTTTATTGAAGTAAAATGTTTAATTAACTATCAACCTTCGTTATTTCCTAATTTTAATTTGCACATTAATATTGTGCATTATGAGAAAAGTTTTGATTTTTTTTACCATCATAAACTGACAAGAAAGTCGTTTTTCATGTAAACACAGCATAATCATTCAATATGTACAGGTAAGCAAATACCTTACTGTGAATAGGAGTTTTGGGACGTTTCATATTTAGAGTGATCAAGATCATGTTGAAGATTTCTGTCTTCTGGGTATTCTGAATATTCATCGCCCTGATGACGGAGGCAGTATGACCTCTGTAACGTTGGTAAACATCGACCAGACTACACAGCGCAATAACCCAGAAGACAGAAATCTTCAATAAATATGCTTTTGTAATCCATTGGGCATGATCTACGAAAACATTAAATTGTTCTCTTACAGAAGATAAGTAAAGGATATTCAGTGATGATGGCGATGATGATGGTGGTGATGGTGTCGGTGTCGGTGTCAGGTACTGCCATTACAGTAAGTAATCATTTTCGTGTCTCATTTCTACATGATAATTTATATCACTGCAATGTTACTGATGGTTTAATGTGCTGTATTCTTTACAGAAAACTTACTGATAGTGTTGTTTTGTTCTAATGGAAATGTAGTATTTCAAGTCACTTTGAATGTAATCTGGCCAGTAATATCATTTTCTCTTTTATCATTAATCTGTGCTGTATATAATATGAAACTAATTGATTCTAAAGCAAATCATTCTGTCCCAGGTCTAGTGTATTTTAGTGACTTCATTTTTTATGATTGTCAGTCAAGTGTTTGTATCTTTGTGTCCATAAACACAATGTGTGCACCAGTCACTTGAAGATGTTTGGGGTTTAACGTGCGCAGGCAGTGTCACACGCTGTTTTTTCATTTGCTGCGTGCTTGAAATCGCATGGCATAACATCCATACCAAATTTTTATGACAAATGTCACATTTCTCTATTTATGTTCTATAATTTCAGCAATTGACACATTTAAACATTGTTATAGACAAGTTTTTTTGGTTTGAACAGGAGCCTGTGGGAGGTAGTGGTGTTTATCAGTCTGTAAGTAAATACAGTTTTGTCATTCTTAAAGATAATTAACACGGTATTTTAATACTGTCAGGTACAGTGTTTGTGGTTCTGTGTTCCGTATAGTATCCTCCAGTTCTTGTGTTAAAATATGTAAATGATGAATTTAATTTATATGTACACTTTACCAAATGTTAGGTTAAGTTAGGTTAGGTTTGGTTGATCATGTGGAAGAGGATGAGATAGGTAGGCATGTGACACATAGAGGAGAGATAAGAATGGAAACAAAATTTTAGTCAGAAAACTTTAAATGGGAGGATAAAAGTGTTTTTAAAAATTACATCCATTCCCTTTTTACCAAAGATGCACGTAAGATGTGCAAGAAACTCATAAACCGACAAACCTGGTTTCTTGATGCAGGAAACATGCATTTTTCTATATCAGCATCAAAGTTAGTGACTCATACTTGATCTCTCATGCATACAAATTATTTATATATTTTAAATGAGCTTTTATTATGTTGATACAGTGGAAGCAACATAACTCTGGATGATCATTACAAATAGACACATGGGAGGGAAGAGAAGACTGCAAATTGATATGACATGTGTAGAGATAACTCGGTCCCTCCTTGCTTTCTATCAGATGTGAAATAATTATGTTTAAGCTGTAGAAGTTGCGCTTGCATTGCTTGTGTTGTCTGTTGATGTACATCAGGCATGTCAAATTCAAAATTACTAAGGGTAGCTTAAAATAGAGATAACTGTTCTGAGGGTCACCACAACGGTGGGGAAAGTTATAATTACTTCAAATATATATTTATTATTCAAGTCTATATACAAACTTTTAAATTGTTGATGTTAAAATTTAAAATTAATATTAATATTCTGCGCCATTCATCGCTATCTCGATGTTACAATATTGCGCTTAATACTACTACATGTTTCAATGTCATAGCATCATCTTCAGGTTTTTTATCTTTAAAACTACTCTATATTTATTAATGCAAGGTTTCATTGATTGTAGATTGTAGATTACTGTTGTGGGTGTTCCTTTGATCTTATTATTATTTTGCATATTATGTTGCATATTATGTTAGTTGTTCATTATTCAAGAGTTTGATGTGCAGTGTGTCCCCGTCTGATCAGGTGAATGTCAGTTCATAGACTCTATGACAGTAATCTACAATCTACAATCAATGAAAAGCTTGCATTAATAAATATAGAGTAGTTTTAAAGATAAAAAACCTGAAGATGATGCTATGACATTGAAACATGTAGTAGTATTAAGCGCAATATTGTAACATCAAGATAACGATGAATGGCGCAGAATATTAATATTAATTTTAAATTTTAACATCAACAATTTTAAAAGTTTGTGTATAGACTTGAATAATAAATATATATTTGAATTTTAAACACAAACATGACGCATCTAAACTATAAACTTATAATTACTTACTTTTATTACTTCCAAGCTTAAGATTAAGATATATTTTTCATCTGTCAATTTTCTCACAGTGACTAAGAAACCTCCGAAAAAGGAGTGCGGCCAAGACCCACGCCGGGTTGTAGAGCCACAGGAAGAAGAAATTTCCCACAAGCACACGCAAATGTGAACTTCACTGAAACACATTTCCACTTCATTACATTTAAATACAAAACAACAGTACACAAGCACCTTTTTGACTTGCATTTGAAACTTATAATTTATTAAAATTGGGACTTCAGCGTTGCTCATTGTGTTTAATTTGAGAACTGAGTTAAGCAATGAAAAACATTGAAAAGCGCTGTGAGTTTGACTTGCCTTTTGTTTATTAATCCAGCAGTCAAGGAATGTTTAATTGTTTCATGTTAGTTACAAAATTTTATTTAGTAGGTTGTATGTTAAAAGAACTTCATTCTTCCTGCAGTGTGAAGCAGATCATGAATGTGATAGAAATAAGTACTGCTACAAGGTGGCTGGAATCTGTGTACCTTGTACAGATTGTAAGGTTTACTATCGACAGAAGCCAGCTCTGTACCCAAACTGTCCAAAGGTGCCTCTGCAGTGTGGAGAATGTCTACCAGGGTGAGTGATCCATATTGGAAATGGAATGTACTCTTCATATATCCCTCAGCTCTATATTCTTTATAGTTATAAACTATCAGAACCAGAATGTGATGGAAAAAGAAATTTTCCTACCTGTCCCATGGAAAGGTAAGAGCTAAAATTCTCTGCGGTCGGATGAGACATGTTTATCAGCATTTTATTTAAGTTTGTGTAAAAACATGTCGGCTGTCATTTATAATATCTTACGGTTGATAATTTATTAATGTTTCACAGATAAATGCTTGTAAAATATTTTTACAAATTTCTTTGTCTTTCCAAGGGAGAAAGGCTTGCAGTAACAAGTTTTAGCGATGTCTGACTACATGATAGTAGAAGCCAAAATTTTAACACTACTTATACCAGAGCACACAAGTGGACATGATTCTGAGGTAGTTCTGTCCACATCATAGTCGAGTGATTAGCACTCCTTCTTTGTATTTTGGAGGTCCCTGGTTCAAATCTCAGCTGGAAACCGGGTATCCTGACCGAGGTTTTTTGTGGTTTTTCTCGATCTTTCCAGGCAAATGCTGGGATAATACCTTAAATTAGGCCATGACAACTTTCTTCTACATCCTTTCCAATTCATTATTTACTGTCATCCTCTCATTTGGCATTATAGAGTCTGAGCTACCAAAGAAGCAACGTTAAACTATAAAATAAATGCTGTATAAGTTTTGCATTCTTTTCTAGATATGAAGAGGAAATTCTTACAGAAGGGGAAGTTAGAAGCCATTGTATTCCTACTGCATCACCGCAAGGCATGCCCTGGATACAAGCCGTTTCCATTACTGTTGGTATTCTACTTGCTTTAATTTGCATCATAATTTTCTTTGTTGTCCGAAGATTCTGGAAGAAAGGTAATGTTAACTTGTTAATTGTATTTATATTTCACAGTTATCATGACATCCAGTTTATGGTTTGAATTTCAGCCTAAGGCCATTTTTATGCACTTCACTGTTTAGTAACCAGTAAAATCACTTTATTGTATTTTGAAACATGTAGTCTTGATTTACAGTTTGTTACAAATTTCATAAACATGTTCGTTTTCACATTAATAATGCTATGTAATCAGTGCAGTTGAAACAGCATTGTTAATGATCTAAGAAAGAACTACATCTACCTTGAGATTGATTTATTACCAACTTCTAAATAGTGAACTTGTTGTTTTCTATGGCATTCAAGCTTTGTACTTACATTTTGTCTATTATTCATTCACCAAATAAGACAGTCATTTACACGAATTTGTCTTCAGAGCCTTCAATAAATATGTATTATACATTTTTGTTTGTATTTTGCAACGCTGGAACTTTAGTGTTTAATGGCATAATTAAGTTTAATTGCTAAATTATTAGATCAATTTGAAAGGATTGTTTTATTCTCGGAAGAGAGAAACTTGAACCGGCGTTAGTGCAAAGAACTGGTGTCTTACTCTATTTAATTTGTTATATATTTTAATTAATAATATATAGTTGAAAACAAAGAGGAAATGTAAAAGTGATTAAAGCTGGAAATTATTTGTGTAGCAGAACCTGTCCAAAGCGTTGAGGAAGATATTGGTCTCGAAGATCAGTCCCCACCGCCATACAGTGGTGTTCCACTACTCGAGGAAACACATGTGGGTAAGTGTTTAGAGGAAGTGTGAGAAATATTGTTCTGCCATAGTACAAGTATGGAAAAACAAACTTTTTCTCCTTCCTTTCTCGTACTTTCATGTACTTGAGGGTTGCCGATATTTTGCATCCAATATACTAACCAGTTTCAGCACAAATATTATGAATATGTTCAGAATAGATTCCTTTTACTACTCTCAAAGTTCTACCCTATACCAAATAGATTTATTAAGGTCGTGTGTCTCGGAATACAAGGTATTATCCCCAGCTTGGATCATTTCTGCCAGAATTTTAACAGTATCTGGCAGTTTTCCTTTTCAATGGTAGTTTCATCATTAAAAGTATTTGGTTCAGGTATTAATGGCTCAGTCCGCTTGACATTGCTAGCAATAGTTGTCAAAGTAATTCTTGTACCTGTTCAGACTAGTGTTGGAATCTGCAAACAGATCACCGTTGTCATCTTTTACCAAGCTTTAGGTTGGTAATCCTTCTTAAATTCATTCATGCCTGTATACAGGTGTCTAATGTTTATATTTTCTATTTTTTTTAAAAAAAGTTTTCTCTTTCTTTTATTAGGGGCCTTATTCTAAAACCAGTAATTGTTTCAGAAAGATTGGACGGAATTATTCAGTACTTTGTCTTATAAATTGTAACGTACTTCTGTTTACAGCTACTGCTCCTACTGCAAGTGATTTTGTGTCAGAAATTTGTGAAACAAGTTTGGCATTTCGTGTTGAGAAAGAAGATCAGCCCTTTCAACAGGCAGTGCCTTTTACGAATTATCAGAAGTAAGTTACTACTCGTAGCTGGCTGTTATTGCATGTAACTTATACTCTGATGACAGAATATCTTGAGTTAAAGACTGTCAGTAACAATTATTGTTAACATTCAAATTTCATTACATTTTAAAAGTTCTGTGATGTACTTTTTTTTCTACAAGCATTTAACCTTTTAGAGATTCTATTAAACTATGGTTTGAAAGATTAACATTTGAATGTGCTGGCCTGTAGTGATTATAGCTGACATAAGAGAAAAAATGTTGAAACGTACTGCCAATATATTAAATTTAAAAAAATAATTAAGAAACTGGAACAGACGTAGTCATCAATGTTAATGATTGTTCTGAATTTGTTTGCCAGTTAAGAAAATCAGGTTATTGCAGGTAAGTAGATAAGTGTATTTTAAAGCTATGTATGTACACAATGTTTTATAGTTATATACAGAAATCATACATATACATGCACCTTGTCATGGTGGTGTGGCTTGAGTACCTCAGTGACCCCAAGAGCTATGCTGGTGGTAGCATAGCTACTGGTAGGGCCTCCCTTGCCAACCTTGCACCGTACAAAGGAAGATGTTTCGAAACCTCACTCAAAGCCTTGGACAGTTGGACCTAACAGAGGACCGAACTGAAGAGGAGAATTGAGGATGCCATGGACCGAATTTGGACCGGAGAGCCATAGCAAAAGAAGAATCATACATATGCTATATTTGTATAATTGTAGACTGAAATTTTACGTACTCGAACTAATTATTTTATGGACCATCATTTATTAAATTGTGTGGTGTGACCATTATTTCAACAGTTTTGACGAGCCGGATGATGCATCTGAAGACGATCCTCTGCCTGTACAGGATGAAGAGACAGTAGAGAGTATGTGGGGTCCACCACCGTAAGTCAGGCCTGCCACCCTTCTAAAAGTATTTTGTATACTCATTTTCAAGATTTTTTTATTTCAAGCCTTCTGATATTTGTTTTCTTTTAACTGGATTTGCTGCCTGAAACAAGTGACATCTAGAATAATTAATTTGTTGCCACATTTCAACATATCTTTTAGTAAGACTATGAATTCTTCTAAGATTGGTTAAAAAGCATATTTTTTGGCCATTATTTATTTTGTGTTTGGCTCTTTGGTGTCTGTGTGTATGTCTGTATGTGCATATAGGTATAAGGATAATGTATAACTGATATAGGTTGGTAATAGGCATTTTCCTACAGTCATTGTAATTTTGACTATTGACAGTGTACAGTGTAAACAGAATTTGATGAGAATTTATACAAGTCACAAAATGCTGTTTTATTTTCACATTTATAAAGGTTGCAAGGTTACAGAACTATTATTATTGAATTTATAAAAGTGAAGTGAAGTAAAGCCATCCCACTACACACCATGTAGGCCGTTTGGGGGGAGTGAAGGTATAGCTCCTACTTTTTCTTGGCCTCAGCAATAGATGGGGGTAAGTGGTCAGTATCACGCGCCGGCCGTGCTTTACCCTGGGGGGCCCACCCAGCCTTCTATCCAATGGGTACCGGAGTCCTGTCTGGATGCAAAGGATAGAGGAAAAATCCTCTGCCCTCGTCGGATTGAACCCCAGTCATCCAGCCTGTAGCTAGTCACTTTACTGACGGAGCTATCCCAGCTTCTATTATTGAATTTATAGAAACCTGAAAAATGTTTGCTCATCATCAGCATTATAAAGGTTGTAAGATGATGGAACTGTTGATATGAAGTATTGAATATTGTGTTTTACACAAACAATGCAAGTTTCATTGAGTTATTATTTATTATTATTATTCAGTGTTCTGTCCATTGCTCTGCCCAAACAGAGCTCTCCAGTTTTCCCTATTCTCGGCTTCTCATTTTAATTCCTGGAACGTCATCTTCTTTCCTTGTTTAAGATCGTCGGTTAGCTGTATCAATCTTCTTCCTAGTCCTCTCTTTCCTTCAACCTGGCCTTCGGTGATATCACTCAGTAATCCATTCCTTCTCATAATATGTCCCAGCCAGTTAGCTTTCCTTCGTGTAATCGCCTGCAGAATGTTTCTTTGCTCGTTGACTCTCCTCAATACTTCTTCGTTGGTCACTCGATCCGTCCACCTGATCTTCTCTATCCTTCACCAACACCACATTTCAAAACTCTCCAAGTATTTCTGTTCCTTCTTCCCGAGTGTCCAAGTCTCTGCTCCATACAGCGCGACACTCCATACGTAACACTTCACTAGTTTCTTCTTCAT